ACTCTGAGATACCATCTTACTCCAGTCAGAATGGCTAAAAGCAAAAACATCAATGATAACTTATACTGGAAAGCAGATGGAGAAACAGAACACTTACCCACTGTTGGTGGGATTCAAAACTTGTACAGTCACTTTGGAAATCTGTTTGGTCATTCCTCAGGAAAATGGAAATCAGTCTACCTCTAGATTCAGCAATTCCAACCTTAGGCATATACCCAAAAGAAGCACATTCCTACAACAAGGACATCTGTTCAACGATGTTCATAGCAGCATTATTTGTCATAGACAGAACCTCTAAGCAACCTAGATGCCCCTCAACTGAAGAATCGATAGAGAAGTACTCCACAAAGGAGTACTACTCAGCCGAAAAAAAAATGGATTCTTGATATTATCAGGCAAAGAAAGGAACTAGAAGAAACCATTCTGAGCGAGGTAACCCAGTCACAAAAAGACAGGCATTGTATGTACTCACTCACATATGGATTTTAGACACAGAGTAAAGGACTGCCAGCCTGAAGCCCAGGTTGCCAGAAAAGCTGGTAAACAAGGAGGACCCTAAGAGAGACATATGTGGTCCCCTGGAGAATTGGAAATGGACAAGATCTCCTGAGAAAATTGGGAGTTTGGAGGGAAGGGAGTGGGAACTAGGAGAATGATATGAGTAGAAGAGGAGGTATGAGGAGGACCTGATGGGACAGGGAGGTTGAGTTTGGGGAAGAACAGAAGAGAGCAAGATAAGAGATACCCTAATAGAGGGAGACATTATAGGTTTAAAGAGAAATCAGGCACTAGGGAAATGTCTGGAGAGCTACAAAATGACACTAACAATCTAAGCAACAGAAGAGAAGCTACCTTAAAAGACCTCTTCTGATACTGAGATTGATGACAAATTCATATGCCATCATATAGCCTTCATCCAGTAGCTGTTGGAAATAGAAGCAGACACCCACAGCTAAAGCTTGAATTGAATTGAAATCCAGATGCAGAGAAGGACTATGAGCAAAGGGGTCCATACACGGCTGGTGAAACCCACAGAAACAGCTTACCTGAAGAAGGGAGAACTCTTGGCCCCCTTATTGATACCTGGGAAACCAGCATTGGACTGATCCAGACACCCTAAATGTGGTCAGTGAGGAGACTTTGGAAATTTATAGGGCCTCTTGTAGTGCATCCGAGCTTGTTGGTAACATAGTAAAGGACTTTAGGAGCCAATCCTACATGGAGGGTTACTCCCTGAGCCCAGACACAAGGGGGTTGTCCTAGGCCATTTCTCAAAGAATAAGAGAAACTTGAAGAACCCCTATGGAAGGTCTCACCCTCCCTGGGGAGCAGAAAGTGTATGGGATAGGTAGGATGTTAGTTTGGGGGGGGCAGAGGAGCAGGGGAGGGAGAGGAA